TATGGAGCACAGAGACCTAGAAACTGTTTTCCAGAAATTAGAGGTACTGTCTTCTGAGGGCTGGGGACCTCTAGAGGGTGGAACACAGAACTTTTTGTTTGCCCTAGTAGACTGTGATCCTGTTGTCTATTTGAGGAGTGGGCTTAACATTTTAATCTTTTCCTTTCTGATTTTCTTTCTCTCTTTTTGAATAGGGATTCACTATATAGCCCTAGCTGGCCTGGAACTTAATTTGTGAACCAAGCAGACCTTAAACTCGGTTCACAGAGATCTGCCTGCCAGTGTTGGGACTCAAGTCATTGCCACCATGCCTGGCATTTGGTGGGGGCAGGCATTAAGACAGAATCTCATGTAGCTTAGGTTGTGTAGCTGAGGGTGGCTTTGAATTCCTGTTCTCCTGCCTGCCTCTGTCTCCTGAGTGTTAAGATTTTGTGTGTGCCATCACAGCTAACTGACTTCTAATCTTTCTTTTGGTCTGTTCTCTAGGGAATGGTTCCCTTCATATTTGTTGGCACCCGAGAGAATATCAGCAATGCGCAGGCTCTGCTAGAGTACCACCTCTCCTATCTGCAGGTATCCATGCCTGAAGTCGTCAGACAAACTGGGGTAACAAGGGGCAAGAACCGCTAGTATATAACCGTTGGGCTGTCCTGCCTGGTGTGTCTTTTGAAGAACAGGACTGTTGGTTGATATTTTGGCTCTGGGTCTGTGTCCTATTCTTTTTAAGCCTTTGTTTTCCTTCTTGTAATCCCAGAAGCTTAGCTACACAGGGACCATATGGGTAGAGAAGCATGAAGGAAGTGGACTGTCCATCCATTTTAATTCTCCTTGTGTTGTCTTTTTTCTAACCAGGAGGTTGAACAGCTTCGCTTGGAGCGACTGCAAATTGATGAACAGCTTCGGCAGATTGGGCTGGGTTTCCGTCCTTCTGGGAGTGGACGGGGTGGTGGCGGCAGTGACAAGGCTGGCTACACCACAGACGAAAGTTCCTCTTCTTCCCTGCACACGACCCGAACATATGGGGGCAGCTATGGGGGCCGGGGCCGGGGCCGGAGGCCTGGCGGGCCTGCCTATGGTGAGACAACTGTGGGGGGGTAGTGGAGGAGAGGTGGGTGTCTGGGTGGAAACTTGGGGAAGCAGTGACAGGAAGAATTCTAGATTGGAGGAGGTGGTGGTGGAATTCCTAGGGCAAGACCAGTGGCCCTGATTAAACCTTCTGTGCCCTTCAGGCCCCAGCTCAGACCCATCCACGGCTTCTGAGACAGAGTCAGAAAAGAGAGAGGAGCTTCATAGAGCAGGACCCAGTGACCGAGATCCCCCAAGCCGTGGAGAAGAGAGCCGGAGGCGGCCGATTGGGGGCCGGGGAAGGGGACCCCCGCCTGTTCCCCGGCCTACCTCAAGATACAACTCGTCATCTATTAGCTCAGGTATCAGAGTTGGGAGTCATGTATGTGGGCCCAAAGGAGAAAATAGTGGTCATCTGACTCCAGTCCCTTTCCCTCCTCTCAGTGCTAAAGGATCCAGACAGTAATCCTTACAGCCTACTGGACACATCTGAACCAGAGCCCCCAGTTGATTCAGAGCCTGGTGAACCCCCTCCAGCAAGTGCCCGTCGTCGCCGTTCCCGCCGCCGCCGTACTGATGAAGACAGGACAGTCATGGATGGAGGCCTGGAATCTGATGGTCCTAACATGACAGAGAATGGCCTGGGTGAGGGGCAAGCCTGGATTCCTAGAGGTGGTGTGAGAAAGAATGAAGAATGAGAGGATGAGTGTATGACTTTGCTTTACTCCACAGAAGATGAATCAAGACCCCAGCGACGTAATCGCAGCCGCCGACGCCGCAATCGTGGTAATCGAACTGATGGGTCCATCAGTGGAGACCGCCAACCAGGTCAGCTGGCTCTAGGAAAACCAGGGTTGGGTTCAGTGGGAACAGTGGAGATGGAGACCTGTATTTCTGAAAGTCTTGATTCTCTCTGCCTTTCCTAAGTGACTGTGGCAGACTACATCTCACGGGCAGAGTCTCAGAGTCGCCAACGGCCACCTCTGGAACGCACGAAACCCTCAGAGGATTCTCTTTCAGGACAGAAGGTGATAAAGCTTACCCTTTTTTTTTTTTTTGATTTGGGGCCAGGGACATAGGAAACTTGCTGTCAGTGTGAGTTGTTGAATTGGCTGTATGGGGGGAGTTCAAGTGGATAGAGCAGAGCTGGCCCTAACAGAAGGCAAGGCTCACGGCGAGGGACTGGAGCAAAGGGAAATAGGGAGTAGCCCCCAGTCTCCAGGAGTGTCTGTAGTGAACTCATGAACTGCTTTCTTTCTGTTTTCCTCCTGCTTCCTCTTCAGGGTGACTCTGTCAGCAAGCTTCCCAAGGGCCCCTCGGAGAACGGGGAACTCTCTGCCCCCTTGGAGTTGGGTAGTTTGGTGAATGGGGTTTCATAAAACCTCCAATCCACATCCCTCCTTTCTCCATCTCGCTTGCTGCCCACCACCATGGCCCTCATGGGTCCAACTGACCTGCGCTGGAGCTGCTCTTATCTACGGGGGAGGGGGGTGGCACAGCAGCTTGGGTCCCCCCAACCTCCAGGAGCTAGTGGAGGGGTGTAACAGGGTCATACCCCCTCCCTCTTGTCTCCCTTACCCCAGGGTGAGGGGAGCCTCCCTTCCCTATCAGACTGGACGTGCCTTTATCCTCTAATGCCCCGACCTCTGAGCACCCCCATTCTCCGCCTGTTGGTGGGGGTGCTCCTTGACCCACCCAGATTTGACAGTTCAGGGGGTTCCCCTGCTATCCCTCCTCCCATCCTGTACCCCCCATTTCTGGGGCCTCATCACTGTGGAAGACGGGGATAGTGAGGGTATTTGTGGGTGGGAGGCATGGGGAAGGTTTTGGAGTAGAACCAGGGGTGTGTATGAAGGGGGGTGACAAGGTCCCCCAGGGAGTTGGGGGGAATAACCTTGTCTGGTGGATAAGAAGGCGTATTTATTTTTCACTGTACAGTATTTAAAAAGAGAATAAAAAAATCCAATGGCCTCGTGGTTCCCATGTCGTCTTTGTCCCTAGTCTTGTCTGTTTGGATCTCTGGGACTGACCTGCACTGGTCCCTGGATCTTGTTCTCTACTCTTTATTCTTAGCTTCTCATTCTGTGTCAGGAAGATGATACATGGAAATTGCTGCATACTTAATTCTCCATGCCCAGCTATTCTTCTGGTCCAGAGGACTAGACTTCAGGCCTTTGTTTCTTCCCTCCCCTTGGTTGCTTGATAGAGTTGGGCCACTCCTAAGCCCTGAGTCATAGGAGGCTAGGCAGGGCTGCTTGAAGCTGGACCTGTTCCTGCTAGGAGCTGAGAGTCTGGGCAGGCTATTTAATCGGATTATCTGGGGCCTGGGGCACAGGCCGGGCCTTCATCAGAGGGAAAATAGAGTTCTCTCAGCATGGTCTCTAGAACCCAGGAGGTCAGCTTTAGAATCCACATCACTGACCTCAGCTTTTGGGGTCACAAGGGTGATGAGGTAGTGACTGTGGGGTTGGGAGACTCCAGACCTAGGTTGACAGTACACTGAGGGTTGAAAGTGATTCTAAAGATGGTGTCCGAATGCCTTCTCAGAGAAGCTGTAATCTCAAATTGGAGGGAACTTGGATCCTCAAGAATTGTGTGTTAGGTGGGTGACGGCGTTTCACTCCTTTAGTCTCAGGCACTCAGGAGGTAGAGGCAGCCAGATCTCTGAGTTCCAGGAAAGCCTGATGTACAGAGTGAGTGTAGCCAGAGCTACACAGAGAAACCTTGTCTGGGAAAACAACAGGATGTGTGTATCAGGTACTTGGGAGGCAGTGGCAGATGGATCTCTATGAGCTCAAGGCAAGCTTAGTCTGCACAAGGAGGTCACGGCCAGTCATGGCTATATTGTGCAGTCCTGTCTCAAATAATTAAAGTTTTTAAGAAAAGATACTTCAGGGCAGTAAAAATAGCTAAGAAGGCCAAGCAGTGGTGGTGCAAGCTTTTAGTCCCAGCACTCAGGAGGCAGAGGCAGGTGGGGTCTTTGTGAGTTTGAGGCCAGACTAATCTATAGAGTTCCAGGACAGCCAGGGCTATTATACAGAGAAACCCTGTCTCAAAAAAAAAAAAAAAAACAAATTATAAAGAAACTAACGGTGTTAGCTAGCCCTGTGCCAACTCATGACCTGAGCTGGGCCACCAAGACAGCTACTACCCCTTAACCTTGAGAGAATAGACTTCTGGAAGTTGTCCTGACCTCCATGCTGCAAGTGGTAGCACATCTTCCTGCCCCTCCCATAGTCCAGAGGACCAGGTTTCAGTTTCCGCACCCATATGGCAGTTCACCCATCTGTAACAGTTCCAAGGGATCTGGTACCTTCACAACAATGCATATAAAATAAATGCTGTTTTTTAAAAAGTATATATTTCCAGGTTTGGAGTCCTTTGGCTCCCTCCTCATGGTTTGAGTTTAAAAATGAAATTTGCCATAATTGAGTGGCAGAGGGGAAATCCCAGGGCTGGAAGTGGCTTGAGTGTTCTCATCCGCCCAGGCACCTGCTGGAATGACTCAGAAAACAAAAATGCCCTATCTCCTTTGAGTTTCTTACCCCTGGGGCAGGTCAGGATTTGAGGAACAACAGGCACCGGAAGAAAGTATTGAGTTGGGAGTGAGACCTTCCTAAATTCTCCCAGTTTAGTTGGCCCGAGGACATTTGATGCCCAAGTTTGATCCCAGCATGGAAAGGAATTCACTTTAAATTGCTGGTGCTTGCGCTTTGAGAAGATAGACAATTGGGGCCATTGGGGCCATTAGGCCTGACATCCAGACCTTGGGTGGAGAGGGGCGTGGTGCCCCAGGGGGAGGTGTCTGGGTTGTGAAGAACAGGACACCTGGGTTTGCCAAGAAGCCTGTGTGGAGCATTTTTTTTTTTTTTTTTTTGAGGACGTTCATTTGCACAGCCTCTGGGAGGGATTGGGGGAGGAGTCAGGCTTTACACGCTGTTTTACCTACCGAGGCTGAGCACAGGTGGGGAAGGTCTGTGGCACCTGGGTACGCTCTTGTCAGCTGTGGAAACTATTGAGACCAAGAGCCTCACAGAGGCAGAGTTGCAGCCTCCGCGGAAGACCCAGTCCGGCCGCTGCAGAGGTGAAGGACAGGCACCGGCAGTAGGCAGACTTCAGGGAACACTACCTCTCCGGGGCTGGACAGGGTGCTGCCAGACAAGGATTCTGCGTTCGGCTTTCCGGAGCAAAGGTATTGATTCAAGGACTCGAAAAATACTTAGGCATCCCAATTTTCAGAGTCCAGTCTTCACTCTGGGAGTAGGGCATTCAACACGCCCTTTCAAAGACACTTTACTCTCAACCCATGGCGCTGCCGGGCTCCTCACCGGCCCAGACTTGGAGCCTGGAGCCTCCGGTTCCCACAGCCTCTCTGCCTTTGGGACCTCAGGAGCAGGAGGGTACCGGGAGCTCTGGAGCATCTGGAAGGCTTCCACTGGAGAAGATCAAGCGGCCCATGAACGCCTTCATGGTGTGGAGCTCTGTTCAGCGCCGCCAGATGGCGCAGCAGAACCCCAAGATGCACAACTCTGAGATCTCGAAGCGCCTGGGCGCGCAGTGGAAGCTGCTGGGCGACGAAGAGAAGCGTCCCTTCGTGGAGGAGGCCAAGCGTCTACGAGCCCGCCACCTACGCGACTACCCAGACTACAAGTACCGGCCTCGGCGCAAGGGCAAGAACTCGGGCACCGGGTCTGTCCACTTCAGCCAGGAAAGAGGTGGCCTGGCAGGTGGTGGTCCACACTGGGAGCCAGGGTGCACAAGTACCCAAGGGAGCAGAGGCTTTGGGTACCAGCCTCCCAACTATGCCATAGCCTACCTGCCTGGCAGTTACACGTGAGTGCTTGATTGTCCCCCGTCACCACTCCACATCACCCCTTCCTGGTGGCTCGGTGGGTGGGGATGGCGGCCAGAGGACTAAGTTGGGAGAACCTCAATCCATCCAAGCAGAAGCCACACCAGGCTAAGGTTGGGTGGGAGGGCTCCGAGTTCAAGACTGAGGTCTGTTCATTTCAGCCTAATGTATTCTACCTTCTGAATGTCAGTTTCCCCCAAGCTGATGGCCCTTGTGTGACCCAGCTTCCTCTCCCTGCCCCCAGGGCAAAGACAGGCCAAGCCCATCCTGTTGCTCCTTCCTGGCCTGCAGCCCTAAGAAGCAAACAGCATGCAGCAGGCTCCTGAGCATGCCCCAACAGAGAGCTACCTCGCTCTTTAAGCCATCCTAGGGTCTTGTTCCATGCCTGCTCTACCCAGCATGGCTGCTGAATAGCAAACTCTAACCCTGTCTGCTGCAAACTGGTCAGACCAGTCTCCTACTGAGAGTTGGGGACACTGCCCAGTCTCTCCAACCCAGAAGCATAACCTCCAAACCCCATGTTTCTCTCTACAGCGCTTCCCATTGCAGACCGGAGGCCTCCTCACCGTGCTCCCTCCCTCAGAGTGATCCTAGGCTCCAGGAGGAGCTGATGCCCTCTTTTCCTACCTACCTATCCCCTGGCTCTTCCACTCCATACAACACTTCCCTGGCTGGTGCCCAATGTCTGTAACCCACCTTTAGCTGGCTGGGACATCCAGGGCCAACCCCACAGGCCAATCCCTTTCTAGTTCAGAGGCCTAAACGTCTCCCAAGGAGCCGGAATGCACAAAACCACACTAAACACAATTTTGTACAATTAAAGCACGTCTCCGAGTTTTTATTGGTCCATCTGTATTCTCACTACAACAGCAACCCGTGCCTTCTCCACACCCTTTGTGGACCTGCCACAGCAGGAACTTCCCTACCCCACCCTGAGGCCCTTACCTGAGTCATTCCCCTCCCCCACCTCCAGAACTAGGGTCCAAAAGATCGTCCCAGTCAGCTGGCAGAGGGAAGCAGCCACAAGCTGCCAACTGCATTTGTCCAGGCTCTGTCCTCGTTTCCAAGGAAGGCATCTGCCCCGTAACAACATGGCTGCTGATAAAGGACGGACCTGACTCAGCCAATTGGTGAAGTGAGTGAGTACAGGACATACTTAGAAAAACTTTACTGTTTTACACAAACCCTGGCTCAGGGGGTTGCAGTTATGCAGGGATGGAGGATGACTTGAGTTGCACCAGCAGACCACATCAAGTGGGGAAGACTCTCAAGTTGAGTGGATGATTCTAGAAGCTAGCTGCTCAGCACTATTGCTCCTTTTTCTGTTTGTGGGGAGGCCTTGCATTCCAGTAGAAGAGGACCTGGGCAGCAATGAGGCCATTGCAGAGGGAAGAGACCACAAAGACTCCAGCCATGAGGGGGTCTCCAGTTTCCTGTTGAGAGACAACAGATCTAGAAAGGTTCCAGAGGGGGGCAGATGAGTACTCTGCTGGGAGCATGAGGTTCCAGTGCCCTCTAGAGGGCAGACGTGAACTCACCTGAACAGAAGTGAAGATTCTGGCCAGGGAGCCCCCAAACAGCATAAACACCGTGATAGCTGAAAGCTGGCCTGTGTGCCCGTTGCGGTAGTTGGTAGCTGCCTGGAGCAACTAGAGAAGAAATCCATACTTTTGGTTGTGTCATCCGCACCCTCCCTGTGTTCCCGTCACTAATCCCCTCATTCTCGGAAACTAGTACTCCATTCTTTGAGGGTCCATCGTTCCACTTCTGAGTACCCACCTTCCCCACGACCACAGCAGGTACATTGGAGGCCTGAAGCATGGTCACTACAGCCAGCGGCGTGAGTGGGGAAAGCAGCGCCAGCAGGGTCACCGCGTAACAGGCGAGGAAAGCAACTCCTGGGGGCCAGGGAGACAAGGAAACCTCTTGAGCCCGAGCCCCCACAAGCTCCCCAAGACCCAATGCCTGCTCTCCAGCAAATCCCCGCCCGCACCTTTCACGGTCTCTCCTCTGTAGTGCATGACCAGGAAGCAGATAGTGATTGTCTGAAGTGTCAGGAACAGTGCTTCGCCCCAAGAGCTGCAGAGGCAAGACGGGGAGGAAAAGGGAAGGCCTGGAAAGCCTCCACAGCCATCTTCAGGCCTGTGCTTCCCTGCCCCCACCGACCCTGGCTCAGTTAGGGAATGCTCACTTTATCACCACTTCCATCGCTGTGACTAAACTGGAAGGGCTGAAGCGTTCTTAACCCTTATTAGAGCTGTGGGCACTAGGACCGGTGAAGTAATTCAGCAGGCAAAGGTGCTTGCCTCCAAGCCTGGCCACCTGACTTCCAGGCCCAGGATCCACGCACTGGAAGGACAGAACCAACTCCTACAAGCTGTTCTCTGATACCCCCCAATTAACTATAATAAAAAGAATTGCAGGGCTTGGCCTTGGGGATGGAGAGTGGGGGGCCCTCACCTGAAGGGGAAGTTGTTTGCGATGCTGTAGACCACAGTTCCAGTCAGCGCTACCAGCTCCAGCATTACTGACTGGAGACTCAGTCCTTCTGCACTCTTGGCACCCAGGATTTTAAATATCTGGGGCAGCTTCACTGGAGGAAGAACGGCACGGTTGAGCACTAGCTTCAGCACCGCCACCTATACCCTGACAGACAGCAGGAGCTATACATACCCAAAAGTGACCCAGCCACGATGCCCAGCCCAAGGCCTTTGCTGAGGAGAATCTTGAGGCAGGGAACTGAGGAGAGAGAAGAAAGTAAGCAAGGAGGCCTTCGGAACCCAGGTGAGGATCTGAGGTGCTCTTATGAGCGCTCCCTCCCCTCTGCCCCTTGGTATGGGCACCACAGCAGTCAGCCTCTGCTCAGGACGGGTGGAGGTGAGAGGGCAGGGATCCTTCCTGCTACAAACGTAACATCCAGACCAGGTGTGCTGCCAAACTCAACACGAATGCCTTTCCTCCTGCTCCACCTAACATTTCCTACAGATACACCCTGAAAGCAGAATAGCTAATGACCTGAGTTCACTCCAGGGTCCACATGTAGAAGGAGAGAACCAATTCCAAAATTTGTCCTCTGACTTCCATGCATAAGCCCCCTAATAAAAATATACTAAAAACCTGTCTGTTTAAAAAGTCTCCAGGGGGACTGGAGAGATGGCTCGGAGGTTAAGAGCACTCAATGGCTGATCTTCCAGAGGTCTTGAGTTCAATTCTCAGCAACCACATGGTGGCTCACAACCGTCTATGAGATTTGGTCCCCACTTCTGCTAGGCAGGCAGAACACTGTATATATAATAAATCTTTTAAAAAGTCCTTAGGGCCGGGCATTGGCGGTGCACGCCTTTAATCCCAGCACTCGGGAGGCAGAGGCCAGCCTGGTCTACAAAGTGAGTTCCAGGACAGCCTTCCAAAGCTACAGAGAAACCCTGTCTCGAAAAACCAAAAACCAAACAAACAAAAAAAGTCCTTAGGGGGATGTGTACTGTGGTACAAGCTTTTAATTTCATTTAAACTCTGAGTTCAAGGCCAGCCAGGGTTATTTAAAAACTATTGCCAGGTGTGGTGGCACAGGCCCAGACAGACAGATCTTGGTGAGTTCAAAGCCAGCTTGTCTACATAGTGAGTTCTAGGACAGCCAGGGCTCTGTAGAGAGACCCTGTCTCAAAAAAGTAAAAATAAGGGCTGAAAAGATGGCTTAGTGGTTAGAGCACTGACTGCTCTTCCAGAGGGCTCAGGTTCAATTCCCAGCACCCACATGGAGTTCACAACTGTAACTCCAGTTCTAGGGGATTTGCCTCCCTCACAGACATACATGCAGGCAAAACAAAACACCAATGATTATCAAACAACAGACAAAAATGATTATGCCAGCAAGATGGCTCTGCTGCTAAGTCTGATAACCTGAGCATGCATAAGTAGATGCATACAACAAACTCAACAAAAATGAAATTTGAGGCTGGGCGTTGGTGGTGCACGCCTTTAATCCCAGCACTCGGGAGGCAGAGTCAGGCGGATCTCTGTGAGTTTGAGGTCAGCCTGGTCTACAGAGTTAGTTCCAGGACAGCTTCCAAAACAATACAGAGAAACCCTGTCTCGAAAACAAAAAAAAAATTACAATCTATATAAAAAATAAAAAAATATATATATATGTATATGTATATGGTACGTGTGTGAAGGTCGGAGGACAACTCTGCGGGCCTTTCTGTGGTTTCCAGGAATTGAACTCAGGTCACAGCCTTGTAGCCACCTCACCAGTTCCGAATAACCATGCAGCTGCCAGGCGTGACTCCCAGTGCTTTTCAGGTACCCAGGCATTGCTCGGGAGTTCCCTGAGCCTTTTCTCTTCTCAATTAGCCCACTTCAGATGGTCTTCCAAAGACAAATCCCAGCGTACATTCCTGAACCTTCTGGTTATTCCTGGCCCGTCCCCAGCGGCCACACCTACCCTCCCAGGGCTTCTTTATCCCTGTTCATCCACTATCTCTATCATTTATTTATTTGGGCTTCTGGAGACAAGCTTTCTGTGTAGCCCTGGCCGTCAGACCAGGCTGTCCTTGAACTCGGAGGTCCTCCTGCCTCTGCCTTCCAAGTGCTGGGATTAAAGGTGGGGCGGGTCACTGTTCCAGGCAGTTCCTGTCACTGAATCCCTGACCTGGAGGGAATTCGACCCAGCAGGGAGTCTAAACCCAAAATGCACGAGAGCAGTGTCCTCCGAGTTTATGACCTGACTAGAACAGACAGATGGATTTACCAAAGGCTCTGCTAGCCCCTGTAACCCTAGGCCAAGCACTTGCCTTGCAAAGAAAGGAAAAAAAGACGGTCTGCCTGTCAGTCCAGGTTTGGGATGAAAGGGGTGCGTCTACACTCCTGGCTGGAGTTTTAATAAAATGTGCGTTTTCCAGACTGGGGACTGAGCTCGGTTGGCAGAGTGGTTGCCTTGTAGGAAGGCGGCCCTGAGTTCGATCCCCAGCCCAGAAGCGGGGAGGGGCCGGGTACAGACTTTCCAGACGGTAAAACACAAATTTCACTACTTTCTCGGGCGACTCCCCCTCATGCCCAAATATGGCACCTTCCCTATGCAGGGCCCAGAACACTTCCGCCCTCTTCAGAAGCGCCTTCCGCCCAGCTTCGCGTCACATTAGCCACCACTGTCACTCAGGCACTACTCAGGCCAACTTTCGGTCTAAGGTTATTCGAACCAGACTTTGGAGGCTGAATAAAACTCACCATGAAGCAAGTCCCAGTGGACGAAAAGTTGGTCATAGCACTTCTCAGGTAAGAGGATCGGCACCAGCACCCGTTTGAACAGTCCGTCTGCCTCACCCGACATGTTGGAACTATAGCTTCCGCCAGGCTGGCTCGCCCCGCCATTGACCCGCGCCGCGCATGCGCGCTCCGCCTCATCCTCCCCGGGGACGCGGCAGCCCCTCCCCTCCTGACGCCGTCCTGCCTCTGCAACCCGAGATAGGTCTCCGCCTCCGACGGGGTTTCGTACGCGCCTTGACGTTCGAATTTTAAAGCGTGTCAGAGTTTTACGCCTGCGCGGTTAGGACTTCCGCGCTTTTGTTTATGCTATCAGTTCTGAGAGAAAGCCTTATCCCTCCGCCTGTCTCTGTCCCTCCTGCGTATGCGCCATCTTGTCTTCTCTCGGTTAACTTTATATTTGGAGTTGGAAAGGAAAAGAGTAGTACGAGTGTTCAAAATGGCGCTAGTCCGGGCACTGCAGCTCTCATCTTTTCCCCGCGGTCTGTCCGGAGGGAATGGCACCGCAAAGAGGCCATTTTGAGTTGGGCATCCCTCCTTGTCCCCTGCTTCCTCCTGTGGTTTGTCCAGGTGTTGGGAGGTGACTTGGAGCAGAAGAGCGGCTTCATCTACAGGAGAGCTGCCTCTGCTGTGTCTAGGCTGGAACCCTGGGGATGGTTCAGAGGGTGCAGGCAAAGGGTTCCCAGGATCTTTTGTTTGGGAAAGGGGACCTAGGGCCACTCCAGGCTGCATTCCACCACCCAGTGCCCCACACCGACTCTCGGTGCGCTCACTCCTGATGGACGTGCCCCTGGCTCTCAGGCCACACCTACCCTTCCAGGGCTTGCTTTATCCCTGCTCATCCAGTATCTCTGCTGCTCCTTGTTCCTGGAGGGGCGGTGCTGGGCGGGTCCTGCTACAGTACCTCTCTCTCAAGCTGTGGTGGGCTCCAGTCCACCAAGAATTTCTATAGCCTCACGGGGCTCTTACAACTGGAATGGCACCACCTTTGACTTCTGTTGGTTGCAATATGCCTTACTATACATAGTAGAACTTGCCTGACTGGCGTCACAGGCCTTTAATCCCAGCACTCGGAGGTAGAGGCAGGAGGATCTCTTTGAGGCCAGCCTGGTCTACAGAGTGAGTTCCAGGACAGCCAAGGCTACACAGAAAAACCGTCTCAAAAAACAAACAAACAAACAAAAAAAAAATGGTAGAGCTCATACTTGCTTTTGGGACAGTGAGTAGGCATTTGGCCTTTTTAGAATCTGGACGTGGACAGGGCTGCAAGTGACCCCCACCCTCTCACCCTCTGGTACCCAGGCATCAAGAGTTTGTTTGCTGGGCCACCTACTCAAATTTTGGCTGTGTTTGTGCCTCTAGCCAGAGGGTCAGGAACAGGACGCCAGGATGGACTGATCCATTGTTAAGGGGATGGGTAGTCTGTCATTGGCCCCAGAAGGGAGGAGGGGAGTCTGGCAGATACTGAAGGATGAAACCCTTGAAGGCCTTTAGTCACTGGTGTTTTAATGCCTTCATGCCAGCTGTTTCCTAGTGACTCAACCATGGGAAGGCACATGACAAGAACCTCGTGGCTTTTAATCCTAGCAGGGCAAGGGAAGCCAAGGACCAAGATTTCATAAAGTTTTCATACTCTTTGTGATCAGGAGTGGGACACCCATTCATGTTTATTAATCCCCCATTACAAAATCTCTAATTTTGTTCTTAAAGACAGAGAAGGAAAATAACTTTGACTCAGTTGCGAGTTGAAGAAATGAGGGTGTTCCTCGGTCGCCTGGAGTGGATTGGAGCAAGTGCTCAGAGGGGCTGGTAGGTTGATTGTCGTCCTCGGGTAATGCAGAAGGCAATAAGCACCAGGGTGAGGAGGCCAAGGAGGACCAGGCCAATGATGAGAGGCAGCAAGAGGGATTGGTCACTGGTGCAGGAGAAACCTGGAAGAAAGACGGGATGACTAGGAATGGCTGCTGTGGCAGATGAGGAAAGAAAAGGGGGTGATGGAAGGAGGTTGAAGAGGAGCTCAACCCCATAATTTAGAGCAGTAAGTAAAGGGGGACTTGTAGAGGAGACTAGAGTGTAGACAGAGTGCTCTGGGGAAAAGGTTTCCTGTCCAGCCGGAGACTTCCAGGAAGAAAGAGGTAGGGAGTCTTACATGGCCCCAAGTGTCCAGTGTTGGGAAGCTGAGCAGCCTGTAGCCTCAGGGAGAGTAGGTCAAGGTGAACAGTTGGAGAAAGAGCTATGCTTGTATTTCTGCAACAGAAGCTTTGGCCCAGGGGAGCTTGGAGCTCTCGAAGAGATGAATTCTGAGCTGAGAATGTCCATTCTGAAGAAGTTAGTAATGAAGAGTCAATTCAGTCCACTCCCAGCTCGTGAGCCGCGGTCCCATCCCCCACTAGCTAGTGTGGTAACGAGAAGGGAAGGTCACTCACGTGCTGCCTGTGGGAAGGACACGTTGTATTCCACTGCCATGTAGCTGAGGTAGACTGTACTCTGGCTCTGCACGGTGTCCTTAAGGTGAACAGAAAGGATCAGAACAGCAGGGACAGTGGCATCGTGTCCACAGAGCAGAGGAGGCGGCGGCGGCTTAGAGGTGTGGGTATGGGGCGTGGGAGTAAGGATGAACACAAAAGCTGTCTACCTGTTTGAATCCAAAGGTGAGCCGCCCATAAGGAAACGAGAGAGACAGGTGGGGATAGGCATGGTCACAGCCCCCCTGGACCTTGGTTTTGTTGGGATTCAATATAGCGATGCCCCAGGCCTATAGAAGTGAAAGAATAGCGAGTCTGCAATTACATGGATATGCCAAGCAGTCTTTTTTATCTCCTCTGCTCTTTCTCCTCCTCCAGAGCCACCCCAGGACTTGCCCCTTGCCCCCTTTAAGCCCCACTACCTTAGCTTTACCTTTCTTCCACCCTGGGTTGGGTATAGGATTCGAATTTGAATTTGTGCTTGGAGCTGAACACAGGGCTGGGAGCCATTAGTCCATGTGTAGTTTCCAAGAGCCCCCTTGGAGCCTGGACTAGGACTTGGAGAGGGTGGAGGTGGTCCAGGGTGAGGGCCGATGGTGGAGAATCCTGGACTAGTAGTGCCGTTGTTTGTGGTGGGATGAACTGTGGCATTCCCAGGACTGGTGGTCACAGCAGGATTATGAGTGGAAGTTGTGGATCCGTAGCTGGTAGCAGTGCTATTACTTGTCGGATGAACTGTGACATTGCTGTGACTGCTGGTAGTGGGTCTGTGGCTGGTTGTGGGGCTTGCTGTGCTTTCTGTGGCTGTAGGTGTCACCGTGAAAGACGGCAGGAGAGTAGCCGCTTTTTTGTGAGGACAGTCTTTCCGTTTTCCTTGGGCTTTCAGCAAGAGATTGGTTGGTGACTCAGGTACAGGTTCCTCCCTCCCTCCCTCCGTTCCCACCCTCCCTCCGTTCCCACCTCTCAACTCTCCTTACCTACAAGCAGTCCCAGTAAGATCAAACAAAGCACTTCGAACCTCATGGTAGACCAGCTCAGGAGTTCAGCTGGGCTGTACCAGTTCCTTCCTCAACCCAACAAACTCTGCCTTCTCTCGAAGAGGAAATGAAAAGTTGTACTTCCCTTAACTAAGACAATCCCACCCCCAAACCTGACTCAGACACCTCAGCTCCAGCCACCCATATTAGTCAGTTTTTCACAATTAAGCTGAGATTGGCAGGGGCTCTTTGAATGGGAGGTACGTCTTAGCTACCACGTGAAAAAATGAGGCGGTTGACTCATAAGGATCTTAAGCAAAACTTGCTCTCCTTGAGTTTACAAGTCAAAGAAATCATCAGGAGGCCCTTTGTCCATTGGTTAGGAACCCCTGGCTGCCCCACCTCATCTTTAGTTCCAGGATAACCAAGAGCTACAGGGAAACCCAACCCCCAAGGATAGGCAGTCAGCATCTCCACGTGTTAAGGCCTCAAGCACTTGAGATCTTAAACCGAACTAGGTTTTGCTCACTCTTTGACCCCATTACTGTGTTTTAAGTTCCTCAAGGCTAGCATCATGTGACACTTGTGGCTAACCTTTCGCAAAGGGCATTATACTGTCAGGACATTTTTAGTACACAGTGGATCACTTGGTATTCCTTAAGCAGCAGCAGGAGGCATCACAACACAATAAAGGACATGAGCAGCTGATCCACACAAGCAGCCGGTGGGAAGAGGAACAGACAAAGCAGCCCAAACAGGCAGTTTCCAAGTACTTTTATTCAGAATTTTGTGTTTGTTTCCTGAATCAATAAATACTATACAAAACAATGTAAAAATGGCTACCATTTTCTCTCCCTTGCTCCCCTCACCTGGGGACCATTCCCTGGACAACTTCATGCAGGGACTCTCCCTGTAGATTTGGTCCAGCAAATGAGGCCAGACATGTTTTAGCCCCTGGATTCACTTTTGGAGACTTGGCTGGGGTAGTAGGAAAATCTTTAGAATCAGGTGACTAGGTTAGGGAGATGGATTAGTGTTTTGGGGGTGGGGGAAGGAGACGGCGCCTGGGGCAGAACGTACCCCAAAGAAAAGGGTATCTATAATGTTCACGGTTCCTTCTTTTTGCCTCAAAAAGTGACATTTATTCAAAGAGAGAGAGAGAGAAAAAACAAAACAAAAACAAGATGTCCATCCCTTGGCTCCCTTCCCTCCCCCCTCCAGCTGTTCCTCAGCCCCCCAGGACTGAACCCTGGCTAGGGCCAGGTAGCAGGACAGCCCCTCAGATGAGGTCAGCTACATTGAGGGGCATTTCTTCAATGGAGGTGTTATAGAATGTCTCAATGTCTCGAAGAGTCCTCTTGTCTTCTTCTGTCACCATATTAATAGCCACACCTTTACGGCCAAAGCGACCACCACGACCAATTCTAAGAGGGAAAAAAGGATAATAATGGAGTGGGAAATACAGGATTACATTAGGATTTCAGCCCAAGTGTTTGGCATTGCAGACCTTCATTTACCTGTGGATGTAGTTTTCCCTGTTGGTGGGAAGGTCATAATTGATGACTAAGGAGACCTGCTGTACATCAATGCCTCTGGCCTACGTCAAGAAAATTAGAGAGAGGTCAGAGGGCTCATCTGTCCAAGCTTACTAGGCATACTTGTAGGCAGCCAAGGCAGACAAAGGCAACAGACAAGCGTCTCGTTCCCCAGAGACCTCAGGCATGCCAGGTTTTCTTCCAAGTTGCTACGTTCCTGAAAGGGGCACTAGTTAGCCCCTTGGAGAGGGAATCACCTTGGACTCAGCCCCCCCTTCCTAAAACAGGCTTCTACTCACCAACAGGTCAGTGGTAATTAATACTCTGCTAGAACCAGACCGGAACTCCCTCATGATCACATCTCGTTCCTTTTGGTCCATATCTCCATGCTAGAAAACAAGGAGTAAAGGCTTCTGGCATTCTACTTTCTCTCTTTTTTTTGGTTTTACAAGACAGGGTTTCTCTGTATTGAGGCTGTCGGACCAGCCCGGCCTCGAACTCAAGAGATCTGCCTGCCAATGCTGGGATTAAAGGTGTGGGCCACCAACGCCCGGCGCATTCTACTCTTCAAACACACACAGTTATTTACAAGACTCTCGAAAACTTACCATGGCAGAAACAGTGAAATCCCGGGCATGCATCTTCTCAGTGAGCCAATCCACCTTCCTTCTGGTATTGATAAAGATTACTGCCTGGGTGATAGTCAGGGTTTCATACAAGTCACACAATGTGTCAAGCTTCCACTCCTGGAGATCGGAAACATCAGTCAGGGGCTATACCCAACAACTTACTACCAAGGTCCGCCTCCTGCACTGGGCCCACCTCTCTTTCCACATTGATGTAGAATTGACGGATACCCTCCAGGGTCAACTCTTCTTTCTTGACAAGAATCCGAATGGGGTCTCTCATGAACTTCTTGGTCACCTCAAGGACATCAGAGGGCATTGTAGCAGACAACAAAACTACCTAGTTGGGGGATGGGGAGAAAAATGGATGGAACAAGGGTGGCTTATATCACAACCAAGCCATGGGTTATCCTATGAAGACTGCAGCTCTTCTTACCTGTGTGTTACTGTTAAGTTTTTGGAATATATCATATATCTGGTCCTTGAACCCACGGCTTAACATTTCATCTGCTTCATCCAGTACAAACATCTTGATGTATTTGGGGGCTAGAAGGCAGAAAACATGCCAACACATTATAAAGAGAAATGTTTCAAAGTTTCTTAAGTACAGGCAAGGGGCAGTCCGCTCTCAGAATGTAAGGATTGATCCTTTGCCTAAGGCATCCCTGCCAGGCCAGAAAATAGCCCCGGTAAGTAGAACACTACCAGGGCTAAGGCAACAGGGAAGCTGGGCTCAGATGACACGCATGGGGTTCATCACAGAGCAACGGATGAGCAACGAACATCCTAGGAAAGTGACCCAACTGTGCAATAGTACTCACACAGGTATCTCCGGTTAAGCATGTCAAACACCCGGCCAGGGGTGCCCACGATGATATGGGGAGCTTCCATCTGCAGTTTCTGCACCTCAGCACGCACATTGGTGCCTCCAATACAGGCATGACAAGAGGCACCCATGTAGTCTCCCAACGCCATGACCACCTTTTGTATCTAAACAAGAGACATCTAAGTTAGCTTGGTCTATACCTGGCAATTTGTTATTTTCCCCTTTATCTGTTGAAAAAAAAAAGTCCATTTACTTAATCCTCTCTTTAAGAACTGACCCCCCCAATGGCAGAATCCTTGCTTCTGAACACAGGCAAACAGTAAGTTTTCCATTCTACACACAACCCTCCACAAAGCCAGGCCAGCCCTTATGGCTTAGAACTCACTGGCTCCATCCTGCCATTACATTTCAAAGGCTTGGATTATGAACACAATGACATAAACATTGTCTGCCACAGAACCCAAGACTTTATGCTGGTTAAGTATTCCACTACTGAGCTACACCCTTTTTTTTTTTTTTGGTTTTTCGAGACAGGGTTTCTCTGTGTTGTTTTGGAGCCTGTCCTGGAACTCACTCGGTAGACCAGGCTGGTCTCGAACTCACAGTGACCCGCCTGTCTCTGCCTCCCGAGTGCTGGGATTAAAGGCGTGCGCCACCAAGCCCGGTGAGCTACACCCTTAATCCACAAGCAAACACCACACACACCCTGACCTGGACAAACAGGGATCTAATTTTTTTTTTAGGAGACAGGGTTTCTCTGTATTGTTTTGGAGGCTGTAGGACCAGCCCGGCCTTGAACTCAGAGATCCGCCTGCCTCTGCCTCCCGAGTGCAGGATTAAAGGCGTGCGCCACCACCGCCCAGCCAGGGCTCCAATTCTTTGCTTACACAAGCACCCAGATCTTCAGAATAACCATTAGGTTTAAATATTAGTAACCAAGCAGCACCAGGATGTTATGTGCCCTAGGCATGAAACAGCTTTGGCCACCAAGTCAGGCATCAAGCTAGGATGAACAAAGGACTGCCATCTGCTCTGCCCCTGGCTGATATAAGAACAACACCACCACAAGGTGTCTCTCTGCCCATTGCCAGGGTTTCTTTATAAAATAGCCGACCTGCCCACCCCAGCAAGCTGCATTCCACTTCCCATCGCTAAAGGAAGTGGTTAGCCCACCAAAAGAGCTCTAGAAGCTACCAACCCATTTACTAACTCCAGAGCATCAACAGCCAGCAGTGACAGCAAATGCACTGGACATTCCAGTGTTCTTTCTGAAATCAATTGAGCCACTCTTACCTGCTGAGCCAACTCGCGAGTGGGCGCCAGAACCAAGGCCTGAGTGGCCTTCAGATCTAACTCGATCTGCTGCAAGATGGATATGGCGAATGTCGCTGTTTTCCCAGTCCCAGACTGGGCTTGAGCAATCACATCATAACCTACAATCGGATCAAGAATTATATGTGGTAAATGTTCATGCACCTTGGGCACATTGATAGGCAATAGGGATATCATATTATCAATAAAGAAACAAGATTGTAAACAATGTTAAGAGACCTCAAATTATTTGTGACTAAGTTGAGGGTATCAGAACATTATGAACTCATACCACACCCACTTGACCTAGACACAAAACACTAAAAATGCCCATGAACTGGAAACCTAGGCATGACCTAGGTACCGACATAAAACTAAAACTAAAAGCCAAGGACCAAGGATAAATAAATTGCTACCTCCTGGTTGCCATGCCTACTACCAACTCAGTGTCACTCTAACCCAGTCAGGGATAGTCCAAACCCGTCCTGACAATTCTTACCCTTGATACAAGGAAGAATGGCTCGCTGCTGGATGGCAGAGGGCTTCTCAAAACCATAGGCATAAATACCACGGAGGAGGGACTCTGAGAGATTCATGTCATCAAAGCTATCCACAATCTCATTCCAATTACTCTGCAGGATACAAAGAAACAAAAACTCAGGAATATAGTAGTATGTGCTTACACAAAAGCTGCACAGACACTCCACCAGGTCTGTCATCTCATTCTAGATGTCTGAGGTCACTATCACTATAAGCAGGTAGGTGCCTGTTTGCTTGGGACAAGTAAAGCGGGGGATTTAATAGGACAGAAAACACGTACGGCAGGGTAGTGGCTGAAGGTTTTAAATCTCACCTCGATGACGCCTTCAGGCTCCATTCCGTCGGGGCCATTGTCTCTGGATCTGTTGATTCAAAGCATTAGTTTTGCTTCCTGCTTGAGGGGCGCAGAAAAAGCCAACACATTCCCAATCCAATTCCCGCCCGTTCCCAATGGACAATCAAGAATCACTTTTAGGGTGACTCTCCTGTTAATAAAGATCAAAGGGCTGTGCCCTCACCCACGACGAGATGCAATCTTTGCCGCCAGACCCACATATTCTGGTCCTGACCGATCAAAGCGTGCATCTCCTCCCGGACACCAAGGCCACCGGAAGTCCCGCCCTTCACCTCAGAGCTCCGAGGTGGGCCGTCCCCTTCCCCCCCACGTCACGCCGCCCGCGCCCTCCCCCACTCCCTCCGCCGGCCCCCCTTCCCAGTACCCGGATGTGGGAGGCCGCGGGCGGTGGCGGCCTCGCGCACAATGAGCCGAGCCGAGTTAGCTAAGGGGGAGATTGCACAACACAGACAAGCGAAGCAGACTGGGGGGAGGGGAACCTTTCAAGCGGCCATGTGCTCATTCGCTCCGCCACTCGGCGGCGCCTCCCCCGCCATGAAACAATCCGCCACCCGCCCGCCCCCGTCGAGAAATGGCGTCGCCCTCCCATACCTCAGGCCGCTCACCCCCGAAGTTAAGTGGACCTGCCCATCCGCAGTTTGCCAATTGCCCGGCTTGTGCGGCAAAATGGACCCGCCCGCCCGGCGCCGGGAGGGCTCCTGATGCCTCACGCGGCCGCTCCTTGGGGTTAAACTCAGTCCTGGCCGTCAAGAAAACCATCACCCTGAACGGCCGGCTCCTTCTTCCCCGACCCACGTCCCAAGAGCGACGAAGGGACTGGCTGAAGACGCAGGCACCCCTGCCTGTCGCGAGTGGTACCGCCAGAATCCTCCGGAACCCGCGCGCGCCCTGCCCGACACAGGGAGGCAACCAGACCGGCCGGCTCGGGGCCGCGCAGCCGCCTCTCCTCTTTCCCACGCTCGGTCAAGACCTCGCCCTGCCTCCCAGTGCCCGGGCTTCGCGTACGGCTCCCCCTCGGGCAGAGGCCTCGTGACGAACCTCGCGCCCTCCGCCCAGGCCAGGCTGTCCTTCCCCGTCTCCGCGCTGGTGGCAGCGTCCGCCGTGGACCTCCCCCTTGCCCCCCCAGTCCCCGGACGTTTCCTCCCAGCTCGTTTCCCCCGCAACCTGGTAGGCTTGGGGCAATGGGCCTCTCAACTTCCCCCCGTGGGACCTTCGGAAGGGAGCGGCGGGGTAAGTAGCCACAGCCTATTGCATATGCCTTTCTTACCGAGAATCCTGACTCGCAGACATGATCCTTCGAATCTAGGGTGGAGTGCCCGCCTATCGACAACTTATAGAGCGCCCGACCCCGCCCCAGCCATCGCATTGGTCTGGCTGCCTCTGCCCCGCCTGCCGGCACTCTGCAACTCGACGTGACGTTAGTTTGTAGGCGCTTTAACTCGTACGCCCTATTGGGTAATTTGAATGCCTATCAAGGTTGGGGCCCGCCCTACAGCCTCATTGGCTGAAGGGCCCGCCTTTCTCCCTGGTACGGAAGTGACATACAGAAGTCGGGCCTCGCGGCCGGGCAGCCATCTTGGAGCCCAGCACCTTTACACGTGCGGAG